CACAAGGCATGGTCCCATCTCACTGCCCTTTGTTCGCCGTGCCCTCTGCCAGAGTGACCTTCCCCACATGACATGCTCTCTCCCCTTTTACAAAGGGTTTGCCAGATTTTCACATTTCCCGAGTGCTTTCCAGATGACCCGTATATGACTGCAAGCCTGCCACCTCCCCCCTGCCCTGTATGTCCTTCCCAAATTATTTTATGTTAAAGCAGAACTTACACAGATCTGAGAGCTATATATTGTCATTGATTTTTCTGTTCTGCCTCTGTCGCCCCCCATTACAGTACAAGTTGCACAAAGGAGAATCCTCGTCTTTGTGGCTCCTGGTATCATGTCTCATTGAAGCCTCAGTGTTTGTAGACACAGCACACACAGCTGATAAATATTTGTTGCGTTAATGAGTGAATACTGTATGCGTTATTGTTGTTAGCTTCACCTTGTAGTCCGGCGCCCTGTCTGAGCGGAGGTGGTAGCTCTGGGGGCGGCTACTGGAACCTTCTCAGTCCACACTGGGATAACACCCCAGAGATGACTGCTCCCCCCAGACCTTGTTTGAGAGGCTCATATCTTTCTCTGCTTATCAGAAATAAAGGCACAGAAGGTGCATTTGTGCAAAGGATGAGAAATCCCTTTCTGTTCTATCATAAAAACCTCAAATGACACTCTCCTCTCCCCCTTTTTTTTAAATTAGGTTTATTTATTTATTTTGAGAGAAAGAGAGAGAATGAGCAAGAGAGTGTCTGAGAGGAAGAGACATAATCCCAAGCAGGCTCTGCAGTGTCAGCACAGAGCCAAACGTGGGGCTCGATCCCAGGAACCATGAGGTCATAACCTGAGCCGAAATCAAGAGTCAGAGGCTTAACTGACTGAGCCACCCAGGTGACCAATGCCCTCTCCATTTTTCAGATGAAATTGTAACTATTAATTTCCAGATTAAAAAATCAAACAAACAAATGTACCTTCCAATGAAGTAAGTTATAGAGAACTCTAATTGGAGCAGTAATGAAGTCCTTTGTCTTTCTCATTTACCTACGTGGTTACTGTGAGGTTTATGTGAGATGAGGCATGCAAACATAGTTCCCAACACAAAGTAAGAGGTCAATGAATTTTAACTTAAGAATTCACTGTTAAAAACCATATTTGAATTTCTGCTCACCATTCAGAGATGGCTGCCTATACTCACATATAGGGGAAAAAAAAGACTATAAAATATTTTAGTAATGTATTTTAGGTAAGAAATATGTGCATGATTAGTTCTTATCACAAGATCACTATTTTTCCTGATTTTCCCATGCATGCCTTTTATGTGTTATTTCTTCCTTTAAAGCATATCTTTCCCTAAATATTGGCAGGAAATAGAGGGCATTTACACAAGTACTGCCATGTGTAATGGGTATATTCAGAGCTCCCATCCAGATGCACCCTTCCTCTTTGCTTGGTTGACTGAGAAAGTATGAACCCCTCTAGTTACTACATCACTGGCAACAGGTCCTGAAGCAACCACAGACAATTGTCTAAAAGAATTAAAGAAACAAAACAGTCAAATAAGGAGTTCCTTCCAAATCCTGGGTCTTCAAGCTTTTCAATATGGGCACAACCTCACAGGAGAATGAAGTAGTTGGGGGCACCTGGGTGGCTCAGCCGGTTAAGCTTCTGACCCTTGGTTACAGCTCAGGTCATGATCTCACGGTTTGTGATATCGAGCCCCGTATCTGCGGAGCCTGCTTGGGATTCTCTTTCTCCCATTCTCTGCCCCTCCCCTGCTTCTGTGCACGTGCTCTCTCTCTCTCTCAAAATAAATAAAGACACTTAAAATTTTTAAGAAAAAAAAAAACAAATGAAGTAGGTGAGGCTCCTGGGTGGCTTAGTCAGTTGGGCATCTGACTCTTTATCTCAGCTCCAGTCTTGATCTCCACTTGGGTCTTGATCTGAGTTCAGTCCTTGCATTGGGTTCCATGCTAGGCATGGAGCTTACTTAAAAGCAAACACAAACAAACAAACAAATATATAAAACATAAAGAAAAGGTATGAAATAGGCTAATTCCTGGCTCTCATATTTCTTAAAAGCCTGAAGCACTTAAAGGGTCACACAAAACTGGAGGAAATATTTCAGGGTATCTCAGGGATTGGAAGTAATTAATGTGGGTGAAAAAATGGGAAATTCTTTAGTAATTTCTGTTGTTATTTTAATAACATAACAACATAATGACTTGCATAAATAAAATGACACCATTCACCATGCTTTCATCCTAGCAATAATATCAATTGTTAGAGTAGACCCGATACATTAGAAGAAAGATTAACATTGGGGCACCTGGGTGGCTCAGTTGGTTAAGTGTCCTGCTTTGGCTCAGGTCATGATCTCATGGTTTGTGAGTTTAAGTCCCTGCATTGGACTCTGTGCTGACAGCTCACAGAGCCTGGAACTGCTTTGGCTCTTTCTCTCTCTCTGTTCCTCTTCTGCTTGCACTCTGTCTCTGTCTCTCTCAAAAATAAATAAAGATTAAAAAGAAGAAGAAAGGTTAACATTAATCTGAACTTAACATTATTCACACAAAGTATCTTGTTCAGAATCCATTACTTCTGGCTTCTATGAAAATACAGACAATAGATTGTCTCTCAGAAAACAACAACCACATACCAATGAACAAACAAAAAGGAATTGATAATATCTATAACAATACGACAGGTAAAAATGACCAAAAGAGAAAAACAACAGAAAAAGTTTAGTGTGAGCTTTTTAGTGATACCATGCAGTCCCTTAACGATGCAGGTAGGCTGGATCTGAGGACCCAGAATGGGTCCCCTGGGACAACCAGAAGGGTCCCTGATGCGCGCCGGATAGAAATGAAATGCGAGCCAGTAGGAGGCGAGGGCAGCCTTTACTGAAGGTCCAGAGAGCCCAGGTACAGATGAAGTGTTGGGGGGACTTGGAAAGTAAAGGAGACAGAGTCTCCTCATTGTCAGAGTCTGGGGTTTTCACTGAGGATGGTGGTCTGATGTACATATCCCCTGACAGCTCAGACCAAGGACAAGTGGCCAGGTGTCCTCCATAGCTGACTTATCCCTGGAACCAAGGGTCTCGGCATTGAGATGTCTAGTATGCGGGTTTTGGGATCGCCCCAGAATGGCCTCAGTTGGTCATTCTTGTCCAGTCATTCCTTACACATTTCTCTTGTTCTGGAAGACTTTGAAGAAACCGTGAGCTCCTGTGCCTTTCAGGGAGGACTTGTTCAAGACACGCAGAAGGTAGGGGTCAGTCTTAGTGAGAAAAGAAGCCGGAAAGTGAGCAAAAAGCAGATGTTCATGGAGTCCTTCAGTCTCCCTGTCTTATTAATCTAGCATAATTCTGTGTTTCTTCAAAAGTTGACTGTCTCAGTATTTGTTTAATCTTTTTGGCTAATACTCACCTGGAAAAGAACAAGGAACAAGAGGAAAATATCAAGCATCTACTATCAATTGCATCGAGCCAATATTTTGTTTCTTACTCTCTACTCTTAGATTTCTATTATAATTAATTCCATGAGATTTAAAATTTTAGATTTAGGTATATATGGAATGTTTCAAACATATTGGCCTAGGTACTTTATTATTTCACTCTTTCATTCCATTATATTTTAGTCAGTGTGTATCTGTGGTAATACCATTACTTGAGGAGCACCTGGGTGGCTCATTGGGTTAAGCCTCCAACTGGCTCAAGTCATGATCTCATAGTATGTGGGTTCAAGCCCTGTGTCAGGCTCTGTGCTGACAGCTCAGAGCCTGGAGCCTGCTTTGGATTCTGTGTCTCCCTCTCTCTCTACCCATCTCCTGATAGTGCTCTGTCTCACTGTCTCAAAAAAAAGTAAACGTTATTTTTTTAATAAAAAATTTTAAAGATTAAAAAAATAGCATTACTCAAAATTTTGAAATAAAATGTATGCCTGATAAACATGATCACTTTGCTTAGTTAAAATTTGACTGCAGTGAGGGTACAAGAGAAACATGGGGACCACAGGAAGATGGCCATTACTGGGATCAATGAAGATGACAGAAGTGAGGAAGGGGTTCAGATATCGCCTACAGTGCAGATAGTTTATGGATGGACCCTGTGGATTTACTAATGGGGTGCACCGGGGAGGAAGAATGAGCACTTAAAGTCAAGATATGAGGTCAGAGCCAGAAGGGGGGTGCATCTGCCCCCATCACTGAGATAATTAAGACTGAGACCAGAAGGCTATTATTTTCTTGAGGGCAGAGGAAGAGAGAGAGAGCAGATTTGGGGGTTTGAGCATTTTAAATTGGGGATGATTATCACTCATCCAGCTGGGTGTTCAAGTGGGCAGGAGATATGCCCAAAATGTACAGGTAAGGGTGGGGTTAGGGAAATACACTCAAAGTCTGAAGCTATAGGTTTTGTCTCCTCCAAATTGAAAAAGGGAAAAGGAAAAAAAAAGGTGATATTTATTGGAAACTTTCAGTGCACCAGATGTTAGTCTGTGTGCCCAGACATAAATCATTTCAGTTAAACCTCCCGATAGTGATTAAATTCTATATTTTTATAGTTCTCATTTACAAATGAAGAAATTTAAAAATATAATCACACATATAGTCACTGAAGCCAGTTTTGAATTTGGGCTTCTGGTTTCAGATCTGGGACTCTTAACCACCAAGCTTTCTGACTCAACATATTCTCAGCGGAAAAAGGAATTTCTCCGCGCTTCAAACACTTAGGCAAAGTGTAGCGATAGGCTCTGGTAAAATTAAATACGCAAACCATAGGAAAGTCATTACTATATTTCCACACCAGGTAAGATTACATATGTGTGAAGAAAATACTATTCTTACTCACTGTTATTACCTTCACGTGAGATCTAATGACAGGATGCTAGGGTCAGATGTGAATTTCTGCATTTTACCTCCTGCCATTAGTTCATTTCTGCACTATACTTCTGTATTATACTGCACTGATTTGGAGGGTATCAATCACTTGATAATTCAATCATGTTTTCTCTCTGAAGGCAACTGATCGAGAGGGAGACCCAATAACATATGCCATTGAGAACGGAGATCCCCAGCGAGTTTTTAATCTTTCAGAAACGTAAGTTTAAAATGATTTCAAAATTTATTTTTAAAAAGTCATTAAACAATGTATTGGTAGCAGGGGAACAGACTTCTAATCAGAGGCTTTCAGCTGTTTGTAGTTTTATTTGACTTTTTTTTTCTATGAATGTTAATGAGCTCTGGGGGTGGGGGATAATTCTGAATTCAGAAATCTTACCCAGGAGACTATTTATTTTAAACATTTTTACTAGGCAGAATCCACTGAGGTGGAAACATTTTATTTGTAGGCTGGGATTAATTAGATCCCTTTAAAGTTGTCAGTTCTCGTAATAACAAGGGCATTTCTACAAAGAGTAGCGTGGCGCAAAGGTGTTCATTCAAAGAGAATTGTGTAAGACAAAGTGTAATTCAAGTGGAAGTAGCACCGAAATCCATCCTTCAGTTTGTGAGTAAAGTACATGTAGTCTAAAACAGCTCACACAAAGACGGTGCGTGTCCCTGCCAAGCCCCCGGGTCCGTATCAGGGTGGCTGGACTCCCCTCTCTGAGCAGAGCAGAGATCGCGCTTGCAGTCACCACAGAAAGCCACGGGGAGCACCGGCTTTGAAGTTTGCAGAGCAGTCCCTGGCTTCCTTCTGCAGGATCACAGCAGGCTTGCTGCTGTCACACGTGCCTGGTCGTTAGAGTCGCACTCGCTACCTCTCTGGTTCCTCTGTGCAGCCCTGAGTTGTGTTACTCCCTGAAAGAATGGAAACCTAACCTTGGCCCATGGTCATAAAGTGAACATTTCGCTGCATGATCCAGGCACCACTTCAGTATCGGGAGCATGTGGTATATGAGGCGAATTCTAGGGACGCATGCGCGGTCCCTGGTCTTGGGCAAAGCCCCGGCAATTTCACATAGACTGGGATGTTCCAACCATGAGGTAGTGTATAGTCAGAAACCGCATTGCTCCGACTGTTAGATTTCACACATGGGTAAACTTCCATGAAAAAAATGGAAAGAATTAACTATTTTGAATTTTGTCAAATAGGTACATACAAATCTAAATTAGGTATAATTTACAGTCATCCTGAAATGAACAAAACTTTTTAAAGGGACGTTTTAACTGTAGTCAAGACTGCTTGGTACTGGTATAAAAATACATGGATCAATCACTAGAATAAAGTTAAGGATCCAGAAATAACCCCTAAAATATTTATGGTGAATTGATTCCCTCCACCCAAAATAAGTCCAAGCCAGTCCACTCAGGAAAGGGAAATCTTTTCAGTAAATGAAGTTTGGGGCAGCAAACAAAAGAATGAAGTTGACTCTTTATCTTCACACTATTTGCAAAAATTAACTCAAAGTGGATCATAGACCTGAATATTAGAGGTAAAATTATATAACCTTAAAAAATGTATATAATCGTTAAAAGAAAATACAGAAGGAAATCTTCATGAGTTGAATTAGGCAATGCTTTTATTTTTTTAGATATGACACTAAAGTACAAGTGATTAATGACAAGAAGGATAAGTAGTACTTCATCAAAGTTTGGGAAATGCATGCTTCACAAGACCCTGTGAAGAAAGTGAAGACCACCCTCAGCCTGAGAGAAACTATTTTCTCTGAATGTTTATTTATTTTTGAGAGAGAGACAGAGAGAAGCAGAGAAACGTCAGAGAGAAAGGGGGGCAGAGGATCCTAAGTAGGCTTCATGCTGACAGTACAGATCCCGAAGTGGGGCTTGAACCCACGAACTAGGAGATTATAACCTGAGCTGAAGTCAGATGTTTAACTGACTGGGGAACCCAGGCACCCCTTATGTAAAACAGATGATAAAGGACACAGAGAGTACATAAAGAACCATTACAACTCAAAAGTAAACAGAGAAATAACCTAAATAAAAGTGGACAGGAATTTGAATAGCCATTTCTCCATAAAAGCTACATGCGTGGCCGGTAAGCACCTGGAAATTTGGTCATGATCACCTGTCATTAGGGAATGCATGTGAAAATCATTAATACTGCTTCTCACCTCCTTATAGTGTCTATACTGACAAAGTAGGAGATAGCAAGTGTGGGTGAGGATATTAAGATTTGAGTCCTCATATATTCCTGGAGGGGAAGTAAAGTAAGTGTGTACTTTGGAAAACAATGTGGCATCTTCTAAGTGTTACACATAGAGTCCCCTTATAACCCAATAATTCTACCCATATCTGTTCAAGAAATAAACACATACATCCACACAAATAGTTGCACAAAAATGCACACAGCAGAATTGTTTGCAAGAGCAGAATGTGGAAACAAGCCACAAATGTCCATCTACACATGAATGAATGGACATAATGTACATCCATTACAATGGAATCCTTTGTCAGTAAAGGAGAACGTAGTGGTGATAAGCCTTGGAAACATCATACGGAGTGAAAAAAGTCATTCACAAAGGACCACACATGTTATGAAATGTCCAGAATAGGTACATCTCTAGGGGTAAAAACAGTAGACTAGTGGTTGCCTGGGGCTGGGGGTGGGAGAGTGCAAGTAGTCACTGCCAGTGGGTGATGCTAATGGTGAAGAACATGTTCTAAAGTTGATTGTCCTGGTGGTGGGACGACTCTGCAAATAAGCTAAAATTCACAGAACTGTATCCCGTAAATGGACAAACTTGATCACATGTGAATTATATGTTAATAAAGCTGTTTTTAAAAAAGACAACAATGACCCTTCCGCCTTCCCTCGTGAGCAGGAAACCCAGGCTTTACTGTCTGTTAAGGGATTTCCATCCCTGTGTTTACCTGCTTTTCCCTAGAGGCTGAAAGATTTCTGACTGCTGGCTGTGACACCTGATGAGACAGCAACTTTACCAAAGCAAGTCTCCACCAGAGCTTCTCCTGTAGCAAGTGTTCCTCTGCTTCCTCTCTCATCTCTGCTTTTGGGAGATACCTAAGTAGGTCACAGAGGTTCTTTAAGGTGTGAAAGACATCACTGCAGCCTCCTCCGTGTCTGAATTGACCCCAGTTCTTGATACTGTGGCTCCTACCTCAACTCAGAGAGCCATCTTCTGAAATGCAAGATGCTTCCTAGACAGCTCATGTCAGACACGTCCCTGTGATGATTGCACAGTCTCCATTGATGACTATTCTTGATTCAGGGTCCACTGGCCTTCCATCCTATGGTCATTTTATTTTATCCACTTGAGAGCTGTTGCCATCATTGTATTTGCAGGCTGTCCTCGACCATTACCAATATATTTCAATATTCATTGAATAATAATAACTTAATATATTCATTACCAATGTATTCCTCGTTTGAAATGGGGAAAAGTGAAATTTTAATCCCTTCCCTCTCTGAATTTTCTGGCCAAATTGTGTAAATTTGTACCCCTGGTTCTATTCTATTTAAGGATTCAAATATTTTAGATACTCTTTTAGAAAGTAATGGAAAAGAGGGGCACCTGGGTGGTTCAGTCAGTTAAGCATCCGACTCTTGGATTCTGATCAGGTCATGATCTCACAGCTCATGAATTCAAGCCCCACTGCCAGAGGGGAGTCTGCTTGGCATTCTCTCTCTTTCTCTCCCTCTCTCTCTGCCCCTCCCTTCCCTCTTTCTCTCAAAATAAATAAAATAAACCTAAAAAACAAATAGAAAAGAAATAATGATCTACCTTATGAGATACTATAATTCATACAAATGTTTCTACTTACATTTTACTTCTTCAAACAAAAAAAAGTACATACTCAAGTTTACTTTAAATATTATATTATTTTATGCTACCATACAAATTTTAGCAGCAGTCATTATTACAATCCCATTAACTTACTTTTTTCTATTGAAATAAAAATATGCCAAAATTTTCATAAATCTTTAAAACATCAGTAGTAAAAAATAATCATTTCAATGCTAATATAGATCTATAGAATGTTAGATTGTTATATATATATTAATGTATTAGACTAGTCCTATAGCCCTGAAAGAAACACAGTCCTTAAAGGAAAGAACTTTCTCTTAAACATCACAACCATCTGTCATGAAAATAATCCCATACCATGTACTAAGTGACCACATCTCTGTGGTTCTGTAATGTACTGAATTATTTTAACAGTTTCTCATAGTGTCTTTGTCAATAGTTGCACATGACACAGCAAATGTTTACTCATCAAACATTCAAAGAGAAGTAAATATTTAAACAAAATATATTTAAACACTTCCTTTGTAGTACAATGGCCAAATCTTTAAGTTATTTACTGCGGGAGGGTGAGGAATTCCTATAGGCAGAGTTGTAAAGAGGGTATGGGTTTAACACAAAGGTTAAAGAGCTAAACAGAACCTCAAAAAGTTATATCTGCCTTTGGTTAGAATTTTATTCGAAAATTATTTTATCTTCACTGCCATGTGGTCACTTTCTACAGGGCTACATTCATTTTGACACAAAATTTAAGGCTTGATTATTGATTATACTTTTCACATCAGTGTGAACTTTATGATTTCCCTGAAGATTAAATAACATATAAGAAATGATATGCATTTTCTTTCCTGTCAACTCTACTTTCAAAATACATATTCAGATGAACAACTTCTCATACCTTTCACTCTTCCCTCTCCCCTGCCACCATCTGCTTCCCTCAACTGCAGCCCACGCCTACCTCCTTCTATAGGTCTGTGCCTGTTTACCAGTAATCAGTATTTAACACAGATGCCACGTCCAACTTGAAGCAAGCACACACTTTCAAATACACTCTATCCTCTCTAGATGTCATCATGAGGCCTAAAACATGATACCCACAGGCAACATGATAAATCTCTGAATGACACGGACACTTGTGAGTGTAAACAATATCAAATCACAGCCAGTAGAATGTATTGAAAATGTTTAAAGGAAGCATACAATAAATAGAAGCACGGAATCTGTGGGATCATTTCTCACCACCCATGATGCGGCTGCTAGTGTTTCCTAATCACCAGTGCAGTTTGGAGATGCAGGTTTTCTGTGCTAGCAGGCTCATTTGTTTGGGAGAAGATACCCTCCACGACGTTTTATTTATACCGTTTAAACAACTTTTGAACTCCATTTTTATGGTTAGGCAAACCAACTCATTGTCATAAAAAGCTTGATTTTGTCCAGCATGACACATTTCAGAAATATAGCCTTCACATTTGGTGAGGGGATTCTGTGTGTTATAATTAATATACTTGAAGTGAAATTCACACAGCACAAAATGATCCATGTCAAAGGGAACAAATCAGCGGCATTTAGCAGACTAGCCACGTTGCACACTTACCCCTTGTATCTCATTCTGAACATCTTTATTACTCCAAAGGGAATCCCGACCTGTAAAGTAAGCAGCTGCCCCCATCAGTCCCTCCCCTCACCCCCTGCAACCAGCAATTTATGTTCTGTCTCTGTAGATTTACCTATTGTCCATAATTCATATAAATGGAATAATATAACATGTGACCTTTTGTGCCTGGCTTTTTTCATTTAGCCTAATGTGTTGCAGTTCAGCCATGTTGAAGCAGATATTGGCACTTCATTCCTTTCTATATCTGCATAATAGCTCAATGGGTGTATGTGCACTCTTTTTATCCATTTTTAAACAGAGGGCCATTTGGGCTGTTTTTCTAGTTCATGGCTATTATGAACTGCTACTATGAACACATATGTACATGTATTTAAGTATCTGTTTTCAGTTCTTCTGAGTATATTCCCAGAATTGGAATTGCCGGGTCATATTGTAATTTTGTGTTTACTTTTTGAGGAACTGCCAGACAGTTTCCCACAGTGACTGGACCATTTATATTCCCACCATCAATGTGCTAGCATTCCGACTGATTCCTTTCAATCTCTGTCAACATGTTATTTTCCCATTTGTTTTGTTAATGGTATCCAGCCTAGTGGGTGTGAGGTAGTAGTTCATCGTAGTTTTGGTTTTTATTTCCCTGCTGACTGACAATGTTCAGTACCCTTTCATGTGCTTGTTGCTCATTTGTGTATCTTCTTTGAGAAATGTCTGTTCAAGTCCTTTGCCTAATTTTTAACTGAGTTGTTTGTATTTTTGTTGTTGAGTTTTAAGACCCTTATACATTTGTGGAACCACACTCTTATCAGATATAGGATTTGCAAATAGTTTCTCCCATTTTGTATGTTTCTTCCACTCTACTGGTGATGTCCTCTGATGCCAAAAATTCTTAATTTTGGTGAGGTCCAATATACCTATCTTTTTTTCTTTTGCTGCTCAGGCTTTTAACATCATATTTAAGAATCCATTGTCGAATCCAAGATCATGAAGATTTATCTCCAAGCTTTTGTCTCAGAGTTTCATGGTTTCAGTACTCATATTTAGATTGTTATTCATTTTGAGTTAACTTCCATATATGGTGTAATAAGATAGCCCAAGGTCATTTTTTCACGCGTAGATCTCCACTTGCCCCAGCACCATTTGTTGAAAAGACTTGTCTTTCCCTATTGAATAATCTTCATCCTTGTTGAAAATCAATTGGCTGCAAATGCATGGATTTATCTCTGTACTCTCAATGCTATCCCATTCCCCAATATATGTGGGCACTTCTTAATGCCCTGATTTCTCAAGAAACTCTCTGCCCACCTTTTCCCCCAAGCCTCCAGTGCTCTTTTGTAAGCCTCACCTATAATCTTTTGCCTCAAGTGACTGCAGGTTGCTCCCCACCTTACAGTGTTTTCCAGAAAAACTTGGTGCTTTTTTGCCTAGAGTAAGTTCTGGGTTAGGCAAAGTAAAGACAAGCATCATGCATCATTCCTTCCAGCAGCCTCCAGACCTGCAGACACAATTTTTTGTGAATAAGCATAGCTGTGCTCCTTCCAGAAACAGGGAGCAGAGTGTCACATGAGGGATGCCAGCTGCCATCTTCAAGGCCACTCCATCATTCCTGTGTGATATATTTTCAGTCATGTACAATTTAATGAGCACTATTGTTTTAACATAAATGATTATTACATTTTAATATATAAACGTATAAGATTTACTGAATTCCTAAATGCAGCCAAGTGTATCCTGCTCTATAGCTTCCAGCCAGCTGGTAGGAAGACTCACCCTTGCCAGTCATTTCAAGAATTTCAGGAAAGCATGCTTGCACCTATCCACCAACTAGTCCTTCAGCTATAAATACCAAAAGATACTGCCTCTTCTTTCTCTCTTTCTCCATCTCCCAAATATCCTGCCCAACTGCCTACTGCACTGGGCACAGGCACACATGCTATCGAGCAAAGAGCTATCTTTATAACAATCACCAGACCATTAAAAATTAACTGTTTAGTTATTATATGGCTGTAAATGGGAATATTATAAATTTCTAGAGCTTTTCCAATTTAATGTACAAGGAAGAGTATATAGATGTTAGAACCTTAAACTAAGGGGGAGATGGAAAGTGGTAACTCAGTTTTCTTTTTTTCCTTCATTGTCCTATGGCTAGGTGTTCAGATTTCCTGTTTCATGAGTTGCTTTTGAGTAAGTCTCAGAAGCAATAATGTCTTACTTGTGTCTTGAAATCATTTTAGAATGAAGTTATCTGAACCATCTGAGATGTGGGAAGTTAACCCAAAAGCCATTGTTATGAACTACTCTGGGTTTTCAGTTCTTTTGGCAAAACATTTAAAGATGTACAAGTAGTGAACTTGGTTTTCTATAGTTGTAGCATGTGTTAGAATTTTTTAAAGTCCATTTGATCAACAACAACAAAATAAAACAAATAGAGTAACCGTGACTCTGATTTTGATTCATTGGGGTTGACCCTTTCTACCCAACTACCATGTATGATGTGAATTGCTTAAATTCTACTACAACAATGAAAGTACTTGTGTTAAAATGTGAAAGATTTCTATCAGTCAGAAACAAATTATGTATTTATGCTTGAATAAATATTTAATGTTTTATTATATCAATATGACCTCTTCTCCATAATAGATGCTCTTTAGGCCTTTATTAAAATGCCAAATATCAGATTGTAAAACTCTAAGATAGAAATGTTGAATTTGCTTTAGAGAGGATTAGGAGTAACCAAACTAATATAAAACAAATTACACCAGAGAAGAAGGTCTTAAAATTGGAGGCATTTATTTTAACCAGTGAAAGGGTAAGAAGTAGTATTAAAATATTCTAATTATGAGAATTTGCCCAGAGGCTCCTCATCTCCCATTATATATAATAAATAAAGAAACATCTAAATTTCAAAAGAATAACAACATGGTAAAATTGTTAATGTAGCCAACAAAAGTTTGTTTTTTATAAATTATAAAATGAGAAAGTGAATGCTGATAAAATTATGTTTCCTTAATAAGAATGTCAAATATTACTGAATCCTCTGAATCCTCTTTGGAAATCAGTATAATGTCTCTAAATCTGATTACTATAGAGAATAAAGATAAATATTACAAAAATAATCCTAATATCCATGAAAGCTTTAACATTTTACTGTATGTTTTCTAATTTTCTACAATGAGCCTCCATTGTTTTGAAATTCTCAGTCTCTAGGATTTGTCAAAAATAGAATTTAGATGTTTGCATTTCCAGCATGGACACATATGTGATAATGAACGGGAATGATGATGTGTATTAGTCCTAAGAAACCATTCCTTGATTCAAAAGATTATGAAACTACTAAAGATTAATGGAGTCTTTTACCTTGAAATAATCATAAACAAGATAGATATCTTTCTTCCGAGAATGAATTAAGCATAGTTTTATTTTCCTCTTGGAGGCTGGAGAATCAACTCAGTTAATCTCATTCAGTTTGGCAGTTTTTCATTGTCGCTAAGAAGCTCAACAGCCTTAAAAGCTTTTTTCATTCATCAACATGAGTCCTAGAATCACACATCTTTTGCTGAAGGGGAAAAACCAATCAAGAGTAGTTCCCAGTGGGAGGAAGACTCCCTGTGACTTAAGATCTTTGTGTGTCTTATCTGTCTGTTTGTTTTCTCTGTCACTAGTACTGGGATTCTAACCTTAGGGAAAGCCCTGGACAGGGAGAGCACCGATCGCTACATTCTGATCGTCACTGCTTCAGACGGCAGGCCAGATGGGGTGAGTATTCAGCCTGGGGACGGTTGGGTTATAAGCACAGTTCTGGAGAAACCAGGAGCCTTGTAGTCTAATACTCTGAAACAGTGTATCACCATCCTGAGTCCAGGAATAATCTCTTTCACCAGGAGCTGTTCCTTAAATTACTTGGAGAAGTGGTCTTTTCTCCAATGGACTATTTTAATAGATGAGGCTGTACTCTGAATCTCTTACATGTTAGAACTTTTTGACCTGATGGAATGGATACTTGTGATTGGCATTCTTACCCAACTTGTGGGGAATTTGAAATCTAATAGCCTAGAACGCAGTCTGTGGTGAGCATCACCTGCACTGCGCCCCAAAATGCATCCTGGCTGTTTTACCCTTTTGCAACCTGTTCCCTTTAATGTCACTTTTGTTTGTTTTGTTGTTGTTGTTGTTGTTGTTTTTTGAGGGACTGCAGATGAATGTCTTGAAACACATAGGAAACCTCCTTGGTGATTGAAGTGGTTTACAGAGAGGACACATTTTATTTTATCTGCACCTAAAAATCAATTGTAAGAATAAATCAATTGATTAGTCATTCTGGAGTGTTTTATAATTACTTGACTGCATTCTTCACACCACCTTGCTTACAACCACAACTGTTCTAATTTTTAAACACTGTAACATTTCAATTGTTGGTACAGGTCATTGGACTTTTTTCACCATTTCTATGACACAAAATAGTTATTTCTTTGGTCAAATACTTATAGGCAACTCAGCACATTACAAGCCAATTCAGCACCATTCTCTGGAAATAATTTCACATTCAAGTTGGGAGCATAGGTCAGGTTCACCCAGTTAAAATAACAACATAGCTCCACCTAACTTGAAAGTAATTCTTTGATCTGTATTGGTTGGGGGCATATAATGGTCTCCTCACACTTCTTTGAAGAGGGTTGCTCAGAAGATTAATTGATAAATCTGCCAATAATAAGCCATTTGCTATTTCTCAAACATTAGGTAAAACAGTTATATATAGAAAATAAAATAAGGTAAAACCTTGGTTTGTGAGCATAATTCATTATGGAAACATGCTTGAAATCCAAAGCACTGGTCTATCAAAGTGAATGTCAAGAACCATTGGCTCAGTTGTGATCAAGAGACATTCGGCATCACATACAATTCATATTGCAAGACATCGCTCATTTATGAAGTTAAAATTTATTAGAAATATTTACTTATCTTGTGGAATGAGCTCAGAACGAGTTACTCAGAATCCAAGGTTTGCTGTTTATGGAACAGTCTGAGTAAATAGTGCGGCCAGGACAAAATACTTAGATGTGTGAAGAAAAATAAAACTACTAATTATATGTGTGCTGTGTCCTTGATTAAGAGTGTGTCTGTGTTAGATCTACATGAAAAAATTAGTGTGAGTCTCAAGAAGAAAATAAGTGAAGACTTTGATGTATGGTAGAAGATTAATTGATAACTTGGCTAGGAAATAATGAGGCTGAGGGGTCCTGAGGAATTATTCGTTACGGAGGTAGGGGTATCATTAGAGTGAAGTAAAATAAACAAGGAGCATTGAGGTCAGCCATCAGGATAGAAAAAAAGAAAACATGATACACAACTTGGGACATATCACGTTACAAATCAGATATTAACGGCAGTGATATTAGATACGACCCTTTAAATCTGGCCTTAAAAATAATTTCTTAGACAAGAGAACAGATAGAAAAGAAATAGTATATTAAGATATTTGGCATAGTCTCAAGCCACTAATTATGGGTTTGTCCACATCAAAAAATGGGAATCATTTCTGGGTTAAACACAATGGTTTAATTTCTTCTAGGGCATTTCTTTTCCTAGTTACTTGTATATTTCAGTTCCCTTGGCCAGATCATTTAACATTTCTGGTTCCCCCACGTTTTCATTCTTATGATCAGTAAAGTCTCATTCAGCTTTAAAATTCTGATCCTTT